CGGCCGAACCGGGATCATATATGTGTCTGCGTGTGCATTTGTTGAATATTACCGTGAGGCTGTTTTTTTTCGTGATTGTGCGTCTGTCTGAGCGTGTTACGGTGATGTTACGGGCCCGTTGCCGGCAGGTTGAGGAGGCAGATTCCAGGAGTAAGGAGATCATGTCAACCAAAAAGTAGTTCTCGTCGGATATATCTCAAAACTTCATAGCTTTCTTACTGATGAGGATGTGTTCAATAAGTAGTACTCGTAGATTATATCTCAACTTTTCAGTTCTTTGACTGATGGCGGACGGAGCTGGAGTCATTTTGAAAGGCTTTGTTGGTTTGATATCGGTTTGGGCTTAAGGTTCAGGGATAAGGGCTATGTAGGGTTTTGGGTCTAGGGTTTAGGGTTTGATTTCGTTTAGGGTGTAGGGCTTAGGGCTATGTAGGCATCTTTCGAAGAACTGAATCCTCTCAAAGCACCACTCAGCGGCCTTAAGCCTAAACCCTAAACCCTAAACCCCTAAACCCCTAAACCCCTAAACCCCTAAACCCCTAAACCCCTAAATCCCTAAACCCTAAACCCTTAAGCCTCTACACAGAGTTCAGCCCTGGGCCATCCGAACTCTTTCAAGGGAAATGTCCTGGGGTTTAGGGTTTTGGGTTTTGGATTTAGGGTTTTTAGGGTAATAAGGAGACCCCTCAAAGGGGACCCTTCTTAACCCTACTTCCTTGTTGAGGTGGCCTATATCATCAAGGGTTTAGCGTTTAGGTTTTAGGGTTTATAATCCTAACTCCCAAGATGGAAATCTCACAGGCGAACATCACCATGGATCGAGCGACGAAGCTGCCATGCAACTGGTGCCTAGAGTCGAGCTCAACACTATAGAAGCCTGAACAGCTACAAATACTTCTCCTATATACAAACATATAGATACATCTGTAATATACACATATATATATATATATAGACATGTGCGTACATATCTGTGTTGATTAGATATTGCTTGTTTGCTTTCTTCGCAAAGAGAGGTAGACAGTCAGCTCGAAAAAGCCCACCTGTAATGTGCTCCCTCAGGAAGGAAGCTCAAGATGCCAAGATGATCGTGCCTCGCACGCCCTGCGCCAACGTCAGCCAGACGCTGGGCTTTAAGTCCCGCTGGGGTGCAGAGTTTAGGGTTTAGGGTTTAGGGTTTAGGGAGGGAACGGGGTCTGCTTCGTCGTGGTTCGGAGCTGCAGGGTTTCTAGCAAGACAGCATGGAATTGATGCTTTCGATGTTTGCATGGCATTGTGGGAGTTAGGATTAGGGGGACCCTTGGGGATATAGACCCTCTCAATAAGGTCCCTTTTAAGAGAGCCAAAAGTAGAAGGGGTACCCTTTAAGGGGTACCCCTAATAATACTACCTACATTGCTTTCAGGGTCATTTCCGAATCCAGACGTTGGACGTTACCCTCCCGAGTCCCAATTACATCCGTGAATGTAAGGATCTCCGGTGTCGAGCGAAGGTTTGGGTTTCGGGTTTAGGGTTTGGGATTGGGTTTCTATGGGGGGTTAGGGTTTGGGAATAGGTTTCCTTTAGGGTTTAGGGTTTAGGGTTCGAATGCGAAACCAATGAAGGGCCTAAGACTACTGTAAACTCTGAATGTTTGCTAGCTGCATGGTTTGCATTTCTAGTCTCTCCATGATACGATCCAAGACATAAACTCACAAATGTCCGACAGGAGCTCCACATAATACATTCGACCAAAACTTCAGTATGACCCTGCTTCATGTACTATACTGCTGGTGGAGGAAATCTTGCACCAGTTTAAATAGGTCAACAACGAGAGTTCCCGGACCCCTTGTTCAGCATTGATGTCCATTCCGGGTAACTCGGAAAGCAGAAAACCCCAAACCCTAAACGCTTCGAAGATTCCTGGTATGTTTCAGTAGAACCGTGTATTTTTATTGTTTGGTAAGTACAGTTGTGGATGGTCCATTGTCGATTACAGCAAACAAGCTAGAGACTTTTTCGCTGCGTAGCCTGCTAAGATCAGCTTTGCTCGACTGCCTCTTTACAGTGGATGCAGGCACTCCCAAAAAGAGATGGAGTGTTTGGGCTTAGGATTCAGGATCGAGGGTGTTCGCAGGCTCAGGCTTGCAGGGTTCAAATTTCAGATGTATTTTGAGTTTGGGGGTTCGGATTTCAGCATTTGCAGCTGTGGTTTAGCATGATTGGGTATGCCCGTTGTCACGTTAGCCCAGTCGTAAAGAGTTCGCTTCAAGGTATGTCTGAGTCACACAAGTTCTTTATCGGAAGGTTCGGAGCATCCCCCCCCAGCCCGCCCCACAAACCCCACCTACTTAGTGGCTGAGTAGGTAACCTTTAACCTTTTTGGGGCTCTTATAATCCTACTATAACTCAAAAGGTCAACCTTTTTTGGGGCTAGGGTACTCAGCCCTAAACCCTAAACCCTAAACCCCTTTTTTGGGGCTAGGGTACTCAGCCCTAAACCCTAAACCCTAAACCCCTTTTTTGGGGCTAGGGTACTCAGGCCTAAACCCTAAACCCTAAACCCCCCCCCCTTTTTGGGGGCTAGGGTACTCAGCCCCTAAG